ATAATCAAATTAATTTTTTGATATAATTTCATTTGTTGATAAAATTTTAGAACATCTATTTTTTAAAATACATTATTATAATTAATACAATGAATTATTTTTATGCTTTTTAAATTATTTTATTTTATTTTTTAAAATATATTATGATAATTTATAAATTCTGATTATATATATATATATATATATATATATATATATATATATATATATATATATATATATATAGAGAGAGAGAGAGAGAGAGAGAGAGAGAGAGAGAGAGAGAGAGAGAGAGAGTATATTTTAAATAGTTTTGCCTTAATTTTTTTAAAAAATTAATAATCGGTTAAAAAAGTGATAAATTTTATTTTCTATTTTATATATATATTTGAAATTTATCAAAATCAATTTTCTTATAGTTTTTGTTTTAATCTGTTGATTTCAATATATTTCATACAATTTAACGAGCCTAATCTTTCTTTTTTTCATATATATATATTATCATGAAATTAGATGTGAAAAATATAGAAAATAAATCGTTATTTTTTTTAGTTTTACATACGAGTTTGACGATGATAGAATATATATTGTATTTTTTAAGGTTTTAGTTTTGACATATATATCCGATTATATTACTCTTATTGTTTAAAATTTATTCCTTCAATTATTTATTTCTTATTAAAATTCTCATTGAATTAATTTTTTTATATAATTTTATTTGTTAATATTTTTTTTAATATATGAATTTTGGAATAAAATTTTAGAACGTTAGTGTTTTATATTTTAAAAATATATTATTATAATTTATAAATTATGATTATATATTTAGAGAGAGAGAGGGGAAAGGGGAGATAAAAGTATGTTTTAGATGGTTTAGCTCAATTTATTTTTTAAAAAATTCACAAGTTATATATATATATAACTTATTTTATTTTAAAAAATTTTAGAATATAAAAAATAAATAATAAGAAATTGGTATCATGTGTGTAGATATATAGTTAATTTCTAATAAAACTAATGATATATATATATCAAGCGATTTCACTCAATATATAGATTTGATTTACATTAATCATCAAAAATAAAACTTTTACTCACAATATACTATGCAAATCGTTAACGCTATATATATAACGGGTGTTCGACCATAACGTAACACAAGTACCCATCTAGTACTCTCTAAAAGCAAGTGCGTGTGCATCACTAGAAATCATATCGATCATCAACTTAAGAAATTTATAGAATTTGTTGAATTTTTCAAATTACTTCAAGTTGGACGAGAAAGCAGTGATAGCAGATATGTAATTGACATTTCAGGTCTTTTTCTTAAATATCCTCTTCATGTCAGTGCCTCTCTTTATTTTTCTCTTTGGTTGATCGGATTTTGAAATTATAAAAATGTGCGTTGTGTTTTATAGTCTAGAAAGATCCCATATTGGGGAATCAAAATGGTTTTACTGGGATTGAAATTCCAGAATGATTTGGTGAACAAGGAGTGTGGTCTTAGATCAATAATCATACAGTTTCCCTCAAACTATCAAAGGATTTGCTTTCTTCCTCGTCCTTTTACTCCCTCTAGTATTCCTTCAGTTGTCATAAACTTTGGTTGCCATGTCAAAACTAAAAACGATGAGCATGATGAACGCAATTTCAAGACACTTGGAATCACGTTCAAAAAGTTATATAACTCGGATCACATGTTATTAAAGTACTAACCCATAGCATTTGAAAATCAATTAAGTAAATATTCTGGCAAAGAAGTTACTTTTGAATTCTACTCACAAGTGTCATCAATCTGCCAGGGGACGTGGTGACAAGGGTATAAGTCTAGTCCTACATTTACTCCTATAGTTTAGCTCTTATCTTTTGCTATACTGATATTTTATGTACGAACTAGACATGTGAAAATTAACTTTTATTTCGTTAAAGAAATAGCCGTAAGAGAGAGCTTGTAGGTAAAATTCATTTCTACACAAAACCAAGTCACATGTATCTTAACTAAGCCTATGTCTATTTCTTGATTTGAGTTCCTATGTGACAAACTTACTGTTGGACGCCTTCCACAATTAGTTTGTTGAGGAGTATTAAGACAGAGCCCATCCATCCAGGGAAGCCGTTCCTTCTACAGAAAAGATGGAAGAGATAAGCTCTACGAGTTCCTAGGTACTCCATCCAATAACCTTGTAGATAAATACATAAGAGTCCTATGTAAAATATATGCATATAAAAAGATGTATTAAAATCTTAGTAAAATATAACAGAGAGGTATATTATTCCAGCACCTTACTTCCCGTTTCAATCCTTTCCAACAAAAAAGTTGGATATCAATGGGACCACTTCAATTCCCATTAGCATGTAATAACCAACAAACAATACCGGTCCTTCCAAAGGAACTCCTGCGAGGCCCCTCATAATCTTCCCATCTTCAAACGATGAGAGCATCATAGGACTTGTGGCAAGCATAAACAATCCAAATGGGTCTATGGATTTGCGATGTTTTTCTGAGATTGTAACTGATGAAGGGATTATTCACTTGTCACAAAGCTCAAAGCTCAAGACTTTACTAAAAAATTGATTTTTTTTGTAATAAGCCACATGGATCCTATGCATAATCTTTCATGGCAAAATTAGTTTTGTTGTTATGCTTCGTTCTACGCCACATCAGCTTCGATCGGCATTAAAGTTACAAAAATTCATATATACTAGTATTATTTTCGAAAATTTAATTGGTTACCTTTATATATATAATTAATTAAAATCATTAAAAAAATCTAAAATTCATGATTTTCTAAACACATTAAGCCTTATTTGAATGGTTTGTAATATTTTTCTTATGGCTAGTGGAAGCAAGTGGACAATCTTTTTCACTAGCTAGGAACATATGATTATTTTAAATTGTTAACATGATAATTAAAGTTAGATGGTTAAACTCTCCTCATCCTCTATCAAAAAAAAAAAATAATAAATAAATAAATAAATAAAATTCCATACTATAAGCCTATAACAAACAAAGTACATCAAAAAGGAAACAAGAAAATTAATCACAAAAATGAATCTGAAATTATAATGAATTAATAACTATAATAATAAAATTTCATTTGTTTACGTGGACCTGGTTCATATGGACCAGACCAAACCTAATCCTAACAAATATAACAGTGGAGTCTACATGGACTGTGATGGAATTTGTGAAATAATTTCACAAAAACTTTGTCCCTTTTTTTTTTCTGAAAGGAAAAAAAAAAAGAAAAAAATAAATCAAAACGTCATTGTTTTGACAAGAACAAAGTAGAAAAGCCCAAAAAAGAAAAACCTCTATCATCAACTAGAAAAACCAATATCCACGCCATCCAATCAGTCCTTACCCGTATAAAATCCCATATCCACACATGCTTCTTGTTCTTCTTCCTGTATGCTATTCACCCTCTCATTTCTCTCTCTAGACGAAGAACCCAAGAAAATGGCAGTGAAAATTCGTTTACCTAGACTGGGACGCACAAAACAGGGCATTTTCCAGAATCATTGCTGCTGATAGTAGGGGTGTTCATTCGGTTTTTCGATTCGATTTCGATGCTTTTTTTTTTTTTTCGGTTTTCAATTAACCAAATTGGCTAAAACAAAAACCGAAATTGAACCGAATTGTTGTTCGGTTTTTCGGTTAAAACCTAAATTTTTTTCGGTTCGGTTTTTGGTTAAAAACCGATTTTTTTTTCTTCTAAAAATCGAATTATTTTGCTTTTAAAAAATATCAAACTTGTATAATCAAAGATTGCATATTTCACATTTGATTTTATAAGAAAATTATGTATGATTATTATTATTTTTCTATAATAAATATGTTTCTATTTATATTATAAACTAAATTAATTGGCTTCTCATTATTTTTTCAATCACGCTATAATTGGTTTTTTATTAATTTTTCATATTCTTTTTTTAATCTATTTATTTTGTGCATATTTTATTGTTGAATATATAATATGAAAAATTCAATTTTTAATTTATGTTTGTGCCAATTTTAATACAAGGAGACAATTTTTTTTTCATGAGGTTTTAGGATTCACCTATAAATTTGTGTTTTCATAAAGAATTTCTTTATCATAGTCTTTTTTTATTTTTTTGTGAGTCAATATAATATAATCAATTATTTTTATTTCAATAAATAATTAATGAAAAATATTTCTATTTTAAGTAGAAAAAAAATCATTAAAGCTATTGTTCTTTTAGTTAAACCTATAAGTGCCTCTTTGATTTTTTTTTTTTTTTAAAAAGAGTTTGAGTATGTGTTTTAAAAAAAAAACTAATTCGGTTTTTGGTGGAAACCGAATTTGAAAAAAAAAACCGAACCGAACCGAAATAATTTCGGTTTTTGATTTTGGTTTTTTTAAAAAAAACCGAACCGAAATTGTTAATTCGGTTCGGTATTTCGGTTTTAACCGAATAGTGAACACTCCTAGCTGATAGCCATACCCCAAGAGATGGCAACACCTTCAACTTCTTGGTTTCTATGACCCCTTAGCAGGTTCCCTCTTTTATTTTATCCTCTTTTTATTTTCACATGGTCAGTTTACATGATGATTTTATACTATGAAAGACTTAAAATTTGAAGGCTTATTCATTTTCAACTTATCTTTTTCTCTATTGGGTTCACTCTCAAGTTCTCTTATTATCATTTATATGTGCAGTAACTTTGTTGTTCAAGACTTAAAATTTATGGGGTTATGCATTTGCAAAGTGGGATGCTTTTATATATATATATGTATGTATATGTAGTTTACGATGACCATTGATAGTACTGGCTGTTCAAAGTTTAGAGTGTCCTCAATTGAAGTCTGAAATTTTTAAAGCACAAAGATAATCAGGTGTGGAGAAAAATAAATTTAAGTAGCGTGTATGGGTTTAGGCCAACATTATTGATAGGACTAATACAATTGCTCATATATCATCAATTAAAATAAAAGTATTTAGTCTATGATAGTCACTGAAGCGCTAAAATCTTTTGTTTCGCTTTTAGGGATAGATACATGTTGATTAGTGAGCTTAGCTTTTGCAGTAGCATGAATATTGAAACTTATTTGGAATTTACTTTGTTATTTTTACATTTCTGCTTTTCCTTTTTGCAGCTAAAGGCGATGCTAGAAGATTGGGTCTTAATGATGACCTTGTGAAGTGAGTTTTGTTTTGTTTTGTTTTGTCTTTTTTAATATTACATTTAGTTATATTCTTTTTGCTCTCTACTTGTTTTTGTTTTGTTTGTGTTTCTTCTATATGGGGTTATATAAATTTTCCTGAGTATTTGTGTTTTAGCTGGATCAAAGGATATTCCGTCATCTAATGTGAACCTGACTTGATAATCCTGGAGATTTTAGCAAGATAAAGTGTTTTAAGTTTTGATTTTTATTTTATTAAAAACATGATACCGCGTTAGAGATCAATATGCATGCTATACATTTATTTCATGTAGGAGATGTCTTCACAATGAGAATGGTGAGTGTTAAATTTTGTCGATTCTGAATTAAAGGAGAAAACTGACGGATCAGTTTTTAGTGTGCATAAAGCTCTTGGATAACTGTGTCTATTTGCCTGGTTGATTAAATGAGTTGGAGGCTCTGTAATCTTGTTTTTGTTGCTTTTGAGTTACTCTTCTACTTGCTTCTGCAGGTATTGGTTATTGGTTGGTGCTCAACCTACAGACACCATGCGTGGCATTCTAATGAGAGCTGATCTAATAACTCCACCATTGATGGTTGTGATGGGACAGAAAAAGGGACCATCTGGTGATACGTTGAACCCAGAGAATTTGATCACCCTTTAAAAGTTGCCATTGCTACAGTTTTATATTTCTGCTATGTTTTGTACCTGTAAGCTTGATCCAGCACTGAATTGGTTGAAAGCTAAATTCCCTTTTTCAGGTTGTTGAATGAACTTGACTTTAATCCTTGCTTTTAGTTCATGCTTAGTTTCATTATATTTGCTCTTAATGCATACCTTCAACAACTCATGATGCTCGGCAAACAAGATGTTAGGTTTTTGTACGAGAATCCCGTAAGTAGCATTAGTGAGCACACTTAGACGGCATGAACGCACTTTAGAGATGTTATCTTGCCCGCATTTAGTTTACACAAGCAGTGAAGTACTTAGACGCATAGGATAGGTGATCTAAGAGCACTTGCCAGTTGCCACTCAGAAGGCAGAGAATATAATTTCTCGCAGATTTGGCAGATCATGAGATCATCTTGGTGTACAGTTTCATTCAATTCTTTGGAAGTCATTGGACCCTTTTCATTGGTCTAGAAGCTCCTCCTTCATCTGCTCAATCATTTTCACAGTCTTGTATGGCCTATACTACAGAAGCATGGATGGCCATGATAGGTTGTACATCCTTAATGCCATTTTCCCTTGCCTATACTGAACTTGCATTTTTCATTTCTCAAGTTTCTGCAATGATAACTGTTAAAAAGGCTAAATGGATGCTGTTGAATGTTGGACTTTAGATATATGTTAATATCGAGCACCTGTCATGTGATGTATTTAGTAATACCTAATGGTGACATGTAGTCTTAAGATTAGAGAACTCCCTCTGTCAAGGGCTCACTGCAATTAATAGGCATTCCCTTTAAACTTAAAAGTAGGCAATAGACATGTTTATGGTGTTTCTCGACTGTTGAGGGCATGCTCGAATTGTGCAACTTAAGAGTTAAGCCCTGACATCGGCGTGATTTCTTTTGTTGTTGCTTGTTAGATATAAGCAGCAACCAAATTCATATTTAGGCCATGCTTGCGGACTTTTGGTGTAGGATTCATGGGAGCCCTTTTGAGTTCCTTTGGTATGCATAAACTAACCAATTTGTTATTTTCAGGGTTATAATGCTAAACTCCGTGACTTTAGGACAGTGATAGCTTAAATACAGGGGACTTCAGACACATACAACAACATATATATATATATACACCTTCAAAGTACTACACTGAATATAAATATATCTTTTAAAGATCCATTTGGATTCAAGCACAAACAGTCCTGTCCGTCCTCAAATCTGCACTCCCTGTTACTTAATGTTTTACTGTTACTTAATGTTTTATGATCACGTCCTGTGGTCTGTTGTCTCTCTTTTGCTATTTTCTTGTTACGTGTTTCACCAAATATCTCGTTTTTTCCGATATCTTTTTCATCTTCACACATGGTCAACTTTATGGGATGTTGCTCATGCAGGTGCTACTGCTACTTGCTAACTATGCTATCGGCCTATAACATTCAACAGCACATGCCAAAACTTACTCTGAACCACATCACTAGAGCCAGAAGATGCATCCTCGAGAGTCTGGTGCAAAGAGACAGTTCTTGTAATTAGTTGTTAAGCTAGACTGAAAAACCATCTCAAATGTTTCAATACAAAGTCTTTTTAAAGCCCATACATCTGCCTTAAATAAGGGCTTTTGTGGTCCTGTGTGTACAAGCAAACTCTCCAAATTTGTGCTTAGATTGGGCAGAGCCTTTCGCTGACATTTGTGCTTCATACTCACTTCTGGCCCACTTATTAAAAAGGGGCATGTCATTAGTTATAATGTCTACTTCTGAACAAATTCTTTTGGATATCAGGTTCAAAAGCACCACACCATACGCAAACACATCACCTTCTTCTAGTCCAGCATGCCAAGGGTTCTAAAAGTTATTATTGGACTTCTATGAAGACTCCAGTATATACATTTAGCATCTTCAGAGAACAAGAATGGGAAGAAGCAGGAAAGCGTACAGCTGCAGCATGGTCAGCTTGTGTTCAAGGATTAACAAATGTAGCAACAATATTGCAAACATGTTACCAAGTATGTGAGAGTGTGCAACACGTAACCAAGTAAGTAACATATTCTACATAACGGACAGAAGTGCAAGTTACCTGGCATTTCATAGTAATGGTCTTCCATGTAACCATTGCATCTACGCACGCACAGTATATACCTTTCGCTACGAGGTTATATACAGTATCCAATGGGTTAAGGTCATAAACAACACCAAGTTTCTCCCCTTCATAGCAGTACCCTATCAACTTTACCAAGTTTGGATGATAGACCAGTTTAGCATGCTGAAGCAAAACAATTTCATCCTACAAGATAAAATCCAAATTAAGCTGACCAAAAAATAAACTTTTTAATTCCATTTGCAATCAATGAACAAAACTACATTATATTTGGCAACATACCCTCACCCTGCCTTCATTATGGCCCGGCTCAACCTTATAACAGCATTGAAGTTCCCAAACCTTCACTGTCACCGGCCATTCTTCAATCCTTCCACGAAACACTCTTCCAAATTGAATGTTATCACGAAATTTTCTTCATCAAATCCTTTGGTGAACATACTCAACTCTTCGTAAGAAAATACCTGTAGCAAATTGTGATCTTGTCCTGAAGATCCTTTCCCTAGGGACATTTAAATAGAAATAAGGAATAATGGGTGTGGGAGAAATATACTCAAACGGAATAGAATATGCAAATTAAATGACAAGTAAACAGATAGTTTGCTAAGAATATCTTCTCCCCTGCCTGACCACAATCAAAAATATTTCTATGAACTTTGTATAACTGGTGCTCCCAGTGAATTGATTCGGAAAGATGTTCCCAGAACAGCTTTAAAATTGGGCTACACATCTGCGCATAGAATTTTTCCATTGCGTTTCTTAAAATTCCAAAATAAGATTTGAAAATCAGATCTCTTAAGCAGTGCTCTCAAATATCCTATTCATCAAAGTCTTGTCAGCGTCTTAGCAGGTTAGCTGACATAACCAAGATAAGTTTCATGGACAAGAAATATACTGCTAAATGATTAATTCTCATGTGTAAAGCCTTGAAACATGATTCCCAAATCCCTATCGATAACATTTCACGGAAGATGCTATATACTAACAAATAAACCATGATTCATCATCTTATCTGGCAAAAGTTTGGGGCTCCTGTTATTTGGATTTAGTTAACAAGTCCCGACCACACAGAAAAGGAGGGGAATACAGAATAAATATTATTGTATACTGCCAATAATTGGTAGCTAATATCATGTACCTGAATACTGATCTGGCTGTTACTTAGTATTATAACTAGGAACAGGAAGTGTCTGATCAATGGCGAAATTGGAAGCATGAAGCTGAACGGCATGCAAATTCCCCAAATACCTGACAACTTGCTTTATGGTCGGGCGCTTCTAAAGATCATTTTTCACACATTGCATTGCTAGCTTTGTGATTTTGATTCCATCACTGGAATTAAAAAAAAAAAAGGTCCAAACTCAAGGTTTTGGTGTACGAGTGAAGTACCCGAACCCATTGTTGATTTTCTCTGTATGTACTCACTTTTGGCCCATTCAAAAACACTGGGTGTATCAGAAGCATCATCTCCTTTTGAGTCTACTCTTTTGCTTATTAAACTCAGAAGCAGAACACCAAATGATAAAACATCGCATTTATCTGACCATTTGCCTGTTGCAGTATTGACAATAAGTAAGTGATACAGTGAGAGAGAGCAAAAAGTAACTTTTAAGCAAACCTAACAAGATAAATCAATACGTTTGCTCACAAAAACAGTGCTTCCAAGCATGCTAGAAACTATGCAAATGAGAAAGATATGGTCCGGAAAAAGGAAAAAGGAAGACAGAAGGAAACTAAACCTTTAAAGGTGTATATGTATGTGAAACTAAAATACCTTGACGTGCACAATTTGGATCCACATATCCATAGCACCCAACCACTTGTTGATTTATAAGTTTTCTTCTATCAGTAACAACTCCACCAGTAATCATACTTAAGTCAAATAATATAGGGTTGTCATCCTACAAATCAAAGCAATTGAACTTGTCAACTCCTATATCAAGAAGCTGTAGTGCAAAGAAAATAATTTGTTATTATTAGAGGGGATCCCAACAATATTTGAATCGGAAGGTATTAAGGCAGACCTGATTAAGCATTATATGAGCTGCATCCACATTGGGAATCAAGTAGAGCAAAAATGGTATATTCCAATACAGAAGCAATTCCAAGGGCAACCTTGATCCTCGTTGGCCAGGAAAAACTATCTGCAAATACAAAGAAGAACTTGTTTACTTGATCATACCTTATAATTAATCATCCTACTTAGTCAATAGACTCCATGAAATACTCCAAACAAGAACATGCATGCATGATTCAAGCAAGGGACAATCCTCTAAATACTACTCAGATGACTATCATAAAAATTTACCAGAAAGAGCAAATTAATAGCCAGAAAATTGTCGATGGATCAATTAAATAGTGGTCCCCTCGATGCCCAAATGGCTCCAGATAAAATAAATATCAAAAACTTAACTTCTTTCTTTCTTATTTCTACCTTAACATAGCAACAAACTGGGTTATCAAATTTACTTTATTTTCTGTAATTAAATTCCCTAGATAAAAGCACTTAACAAAGAGTAACAAATAAAAACATATAGGTAATAGAATAATATACTAAATAAATAAATAAATAAAACCGAACCTTCTTTTAACAGATTATACACTGTATTGTGAGCCTTGGCCTTTAGAAGATAAACAGCGCCTAGATGTCCACTGTACGCGCACTATCCAAGCAAGGCAGCTACGTTTGGATGGCAAAGGGACCTGTTTTTGTCTAAAAACTCGTAAAATTCAACTTCAGCCTACAAAAAGGCAAAGCATGAAAATCCAAAATTATTAAATTCCAAAGATACATTTGGAATAATTAATCGAATCCAACTACTATTTCTAATGCAATATATTATATAGATAAATATAAAAATCTATGAATTATTCCAATAAATAACCCTTGCCTTCCACTAGAAAATAAAGAGCAAGAGTTTAGTAGTTGATTACCATTAAGCGGGTTACATTATCAGCAGGGAGCACTTTATGAAGATGATAAAGAGTATTATCATCATTGCAAGCATAAACCCCATGGTAAACTTTGCCAAATTGGAAGTTTCGCACGAATCCATTTGTAATTTTGCTTAACCATTTTGGTTCAAATTCACGAATACGATAACCCAGCGTATCGCCCATGACAACGATGAATACATAAAATTAGGTTTTCTTTTCTAGTAGCAGAGAGTTTAATTACCCGTCAGTTTATGTTGTTAAGTAAGAGGAGGGTCTTCGTTTTATATACTCCTTATGCACTTAGAATTTAATTTACTAAAATAAAATTGGATTAATAACAAGACACATTATATTGTAGGGGGTAATATATTGCCGCATTATATATATATATATATATATATATATATATATATATATATATATATATTGAATTAAAGCGAACAGGAGTTTTAACAGAGACAAATATTGAAATAATATGAGTAATAAAATTAGCAGATGAGGTAGTTGAATTTTCAACACTTCGTTACTTAAAATTTACTAAAAGATGAAAATATAACGTTTTTAAAAGTTTAGTAGTTGAATTTAAGAATTAAGACTTTAGAGGTGAAATTCTATAACTGTTTCAAATTAATCAGAACACTTGTTGAATTTGTTTATTTTTAAACAAAAACCTATGAAAACGAGAACAAAAATGGAAGGGTTTCGTTAGATTGCAATAGCAGAGATAAAATTCACCAGGTTCGAAATAAATAAAAAGAAAAAAATGAAAGATAATTAGCAATCACATTAGAAAATAAAATATATATTAACTGGTGAACCACAAAGACCATGTCTTTTAGCAAAACACTGTTTTGTTTTTTGCCTTAAATTTATGATTTTTATACTAGATCTATGCAACCCTTCTTTTGGCTTGAATTTGTGACTTCTGTATTAGATATCTATACCTTCTAATAATTTTTCCTAGATATGATCCTAAGATTTGAACAAAAAAAGAATAATAAGAAGAAGAAAAAATATTTTTTAACCACTAAACCAATCCCCTAGAGTTGAATGATTAATATATGGCCACATTTGATTGAATTTGATTAGAGTAATGCAATATAATTGTAGAAAAAAGAATGCCCTCGTTCATTTTTACGTGAAGCATAAAATTGCCATTGGCTAATAATGACGACGATCCCAAAAGCAATGGTAATAAAAGTATATGGTGGTTAAAAAGGAACCAACATTGGTTAAAAGTTTTCATGCTTCTTTCAACTTTTGGTACAAAATTTTCCTCTTTATTTTTATTAGACTTAGTGTCTTTTTTTATACTCTCAAAATCATTTTAAGATCCTTATTTTTTGATCCTCCAAGATATTTTAATCTCAAAACTACAAATTAATCCCCTAACTGTTTTGTTAGAGACACAAGGCAAAAACAGTTACCCAAATAGTCTTTCCAATAATTCCAATCATATATTAACACATATATACACAAAAAAAATACATATAACTATTTTAAGTCCTATAAGGCTATGACCAAAAAACCTAAAGGTGAAATAAATAAACAAATAAAATAACAAATTAACTTTTCCTTTTTATTTTCTTATTTTCTTCTTATTCCTCCTCCTCCTCCTCTCTCCACCACCAAATCACCATGGTAGGCAACACTCTTTAACCCCATGGGAATAACAAACTCATAATTTCTTAAGCAGTATTAACTGTTTTCCATTAGATCATATGGCTTGAGAGTAGTAGCATAGGATTATGTGTAAGTGAGACGTTTAAGAAGCCCTAAGTGAACTGAGCAAAGGAAAATTGAAAAAAATTATTTTTCACATTAGAATTTATCCATTTCTCTATCTGTTAGCAAGCTCTTGGTTGTCCCAAATTTATTGCTCACTCTGTGTTTTCTTTCTTCTCATAGCTGGGTTGAGTGTCAAACCAAACCACTTGCTAATTGCTATTAGATTGAACTGAATTGCTAAGATGATATCTCAACAATAGGATAAATATGAAGAAAAATCTTCTTCTTTTTTTTTCTCATTCTTATTCTTATTGGATTTTACAAAAATGTGAAGTGCTGAGAAGTATGCTATTTTTCTTTATTTATGAATTAATTTGGTGGCCAGAACTCAAAAAGGGTGAAAAAAAAGTCAGCTTCTCTAGCAACTCCTTTTTTAAGGTTGCAAAGTCATGATCATATTGGTCTGCCTTTTAGTTTCTTTCGTCTAATCTAATGATTAGTTATTCCGAAAGGGTTAGGCAGTGGTGGCTTACGATTGGTGGTTTGTGGGTCAGAGAGCGGTGGCTATCATAGTGATTTGGTGGTGGAGGATGGAGGAAAAAGAAGAAAGTACAAAATAATTTGATTTTTTTAACCTTCATCTTTTCTAGTCGTAGGATAAAAAGGGTAGGTATATGTAACACTTGACACATGTCAATGGTCAACATATAGTGAAGGGTTATTAAACGATGGAAAAATCATCCTGGTTTTTGGTAAACAAAAAACGATTTTGAGAATAAAAAAAAAAAGGAATATTAATACAAATAAAAGTAAAAAGAGAAATTAGTATAAAATTAAGAATAGTAGGACGTATAAAAGCTTTTAACCAAAAAATATTTAAAGAAGAATTAATTCTTAATCTTGACAACTTTTTCATGATAAATTTCCACACATTGATTATTCTAATACCTTCTCCTTCACTATCAACCTTTTAAGTATTACTCATATAGAAAATTTATGATATTAAGTTGGATTCTTATTATTAGTTTATCAAATTTAATTTTTTGGTTTAATAAATAAAAAATTGCCTTTCATATATAATTTTTTTATCGATATGCACTTTTCGAATTTTGAAATCATATTTATTAGAAGTGATTAAATTGATTTTTACATAAATTTTTTTTTATCAACGCGCATATTCAAATTCTGAAATTATATTTATTGAATGGAGTTAAATTTTATCATTTCTCTCGATATAATTAATTCTATCTTCAATATGAGATGAAGATATGCAAGTAAAAAAATAAATTAAACATTTTCGTTCACATAAATACCTTAATTCTGAAGTGGTGAAATTATATAAAGAATAGCAATCTTTCTTCCGAATGGTACATAAAAAAAAAATGAAAAAGAAGAAAAAAGAAGAAAAAGAAAAAGAAGTAAAAAATTAGACTTACTAAAAGTATCTCTAATCATTAATGGAAGTCTCAAGCACAACAATATAAAGCATTTCAAAAAAAAACCCTACGAAGTCCCTCGACCCCCAAAACTCACCTTCTCCTTCCTTTAACAGGGATTGGTTCTTCCCTTCTCCTTCCTTTATACACCAATCCCTTCTTAAACCTCCAAAGCCCCACCGTAGATTCTCCATTATTCCCAAACATTCTCCAAACCGCCATCGTTTTGATCATCTTCTTCTCTTTCTTCCACCACTACTTCTAAATATTCCAGACCAAAATATAATAAATATATTATCAATAACAAGCATTCAAAAAACCTAAAATTGGACATTTTCTAATTATGTGATAAACAACCTATTTTAAATACAACACAATCAAAGCACACAACAAATATTTTAAAAATGTATCAAAGTCGATGTTATAATTTCATGAATCGTCATCCAATAAATTTAAATGATTAATTAAGTTAGTCATCTTAAAATATTAATCCTAATTCATATCGGACCTAATAAAATTAATTCTAATTCAAACCTACTGAATTTAACCATAAATTCAAATTAAATTAACCCTAACTAACTATATTAGTCCTAATTCAAAGATTTATTAAATTTTAAATATCCATATTAATTAAAAATTTTCAATATTAAAATGAAAATTTAACTAATAAATTTAATAATAAATTCAACTAACTTAATAAAATTAATTCTAATTCAAACCTAATTAAATTAAAAATAACATTAATTAAATATATTAAAATGTAAACAACATCAATAATTATATCCTTAGTCAAAATCAACCTACTAAATTTAACCATAAATTCTAATTAATTAAATTAAATTAACCCTAACTAATTATATTAATCATAATTCAAACGTTTATTAAATTTTAAATATCGATATTAATTAATAAAGTATAATATTATAAATAAAATAAAATAAAATAAAATAATTAAAATTTACCTAGTTAATTTAATAATAAATTCAACTAAACCTAATAAAATTAACCTTAATTCAAACCCACTTAAATATTAAATATTAATTAATTAACCAAATGGATTATAATTAATATTAAAAATCAATCAATTAATTGAAATAATCATAATTAAATTAACCCTAAATCAAATCAAATTAATTAAATTAATCCTAACTAATTACATTAATCATAATTGAAATTTAATGAAAATTTAAAATAACAACTAACAAATTAACAATATTAACCTAACAACTAACAAAAACAATTAAAAAAACCAAATTAACAAATTATCAATTAATTAAAAAAATTAACCTAATAATTAATAAAAATTAATATAACAATTAATCAACCAGTTTATCTAAATTACCCCAACAATTACATATTTAAAATTTAACCTAATGCTAACAATTAACAAAATTAAACTAATAATTAAAAAAATTAAACTAACAATTAACAACATTAACCTAATTAAAAATAAAAAATAAAAGATCTAGAGAGAGAATAAATTACCAAAGGAGAGGAGGGAGAGGAGAGATTGTAGACAATTTTTGTGGAGAAAGTTGGGCCTCGTTGGATTGAGTGGGTCGGGAAGGGAGTAGGGTGGCATGGGGCGGTGGTTGGGGCTGCTAGGGGTGGCGACAATAGAAGAGGAGAGGGAAATGGGGAAAATTAGGGGGAAAAGAAAATGTTTGTCACTTTATAGGGATTTAGGATTAGCGACGGATGCGTTTTTATCATTAATTGCCGATGAACATAAGTGTCCATCACTAATTTGAATTTCAAACGACTACCCGAATTGTCCAAAAGGATTTAGAAATTTATAAGGGGAAAAGAAAATGTTGTCACTTTATAGGGATTTAGGATTAGCGACGGATGTGTTTTCGTCACTAATTGCCGATGAACATAAGTGTCCGTTACTAATTTGAATTTCAAATGACTACTTGAATTGTCTAAAAGGATTTAGAAATTTATACAAATAGTGACAAACATGTTTTCATCGTTAATCCATCATTAATTAGCGATGGAAACAATGGTTTCATCATT